CATAATACGTTTACGCAAACGCGTTTAATGTATAACAGACGGTATAAGCTAAGCTAAAATTATCTAATTCAGTTAATGTTGCAGATTGCGTCTTCCTTAATCTTCGAATTGGGTCCAGCTTATTATTTTTTGTAGACTGCTAGAGGAATTTTATAAAAAGTAAGCTTGAACTTTCAATTATGTCAAATAGAATTTCCGATATATATTTACTAATATGTAAAGGATCTACAAAGCGAAAGTATGTTTCGAAGTCCATTAAACAAAAAGTGGAATTGCTGGCAAAAAATGGATAAAGGCATATCCTTTGTTTATCTACCATTCCGAAATCTGTTTATCAATTTCACGCCGCGGCACGCAATGAATTGGAAGTTGATCTGTCAGCACTATCCTTATCTTCAGGGCAGATATTTTTATTTTATTTGGCTTATAATTCCTTACTAAATATAGTATTTCATCTCGATGTACTCCGTCTTTGATATGATTTAAATCAAATTCCTCGTCATTATAATTCGCTTCTGATAGCGAAGAAAGTGACACGGAGTTTATTGAAAACGAAAAAATTTCGATTGACAAATTAGTCGGTATTCTCGACACAGCAATTATAGGACTTGAACAGCGGAACTTTGTAACTGAACAAGAAATTATGTCTGTTTATAGAATTGAAGAGAAAGTATTATCACATAAAAAACGAAGCAACTTAAACAACTTAGATTGAAATAAATGTTTAATAAAGTAAAATAAATATTAAGTTTTTTTTATACCCTTTAGATCATAATTGTTCTTTATTTCATAAATTACGGTTTCATATTTTTAATTTTATAATTTCTGCATGCCATCTTACCAGATTTAAACTGAAGATCTATAATCCGGAGAAATGGATAATCCGGAATCGCCGAAGTCCCGACGAATCCGGATTAACGACTTTTGACTATATATATAAAAAATGGCAATGAAATATGCCAATCTCTTAAGAACAGTGACATAAGAAATACGATGAAAAATTGTTGCCAAACCCATATTTCTAAAATAATGAAACTATTCAAAATGATGCGATTTCATCAAGAATCTATCAACAACAATAAGAAAGGAAAATTGTTGCCAAAATCACATTTTTAAAGATGTGAGATGTGTACTCGGAAGCTTCATTTAAATTTTTTTTTAAAAATACAAAATATCATCATTTTTCCAAAATTTATTTTGTAAAAGCAGTCGCAAGGATGAAAGTTTAACGTGTCCAAAAATCAAAGAAAAATAAACTAACCGTGCATTTTTAAAAATAAACTTTTTTAGATAAAATCCCGTTGAAAAGGTGTTAAGCTGCCTTTGTTAAATAAATTCGTATTTAATCTATTTATTGAAACACGAAATTTATTTTAAGTTCGTAAAATAGCTAAGTACCTACATTTCATGACGATGTGAAAATGGAGAGTGTAGAGTAAAATCTCGCTTTCCTATAGCCCATTATGTCTCAAAATGACGCGATTTCGTCACAAAACATAAAATTAAAAAATTCTAATTCGAATTTCGAAAAAATCGCTTCGAGGTGCACTGGCTCTTGTCTAGATGCACCTATATACCAAATTTTGTAGCCGTGAGTCTATTAGCTTACGCGCAGTGCGAACGAAAGACACACACACAGACTCTTTCTTTTATTATATGTAGAGATTACGGTTTCATATTTTTTATTTTATAATTCTGCATGCCATCTTACCAGATTTAAACTGATGATCTATAATCCTGAATCGCCGACGAGTCCGGATTAACGACTTTTGACTGTATTACTGTTACATTTCAATTAAGCCAGAGTAAAACAGAAAATTAATGACCATACAACTTCAGTTATTTTTTTCACAATTTAGTAATTTGTTTTAAATGGATGATTAAATAATGTTTGTAGATAAAAGATTATGAAGAATTAAATTATCCACTGTTGCGGATAAAGACACATAAATACTACGGCATCATCTACTATTACAGTTTATCATACGCATTTTTCCTCCTTTTTTGTATTTCCTGTAGAAACTTTGCTTTACTCTGATTGGTCTGTGATAACTTTCTCATTGTTCTGCAATCAACATACATTTTTTAGACAAGGCCTAGTTTATCTCCCCCTCACAAATTGGGAGTTGACAGTATAAGTAGCTGCATGTTGATAAGTCTAGACACAAATTCAGGATAAAAACCATATGCAGTAAAAGCCCGGTAATCTGGCATTCAACTAACTGAAAACTTTTTTATTATTTTTTTAAAAGACAGCCCTTCCAAAAAATGTTAAGCAAATTGAAGTCTTGTTAAGCCATCAAAAAGCACATAAGGACTCTTGAAATCCCGCTGATAACTTCTAAAACATGAACAGAATTACATGGCTCTCTTTTAGAAAACATACCTTCTCCCTATCATTGTATCCATCTTGTTGTTGCAAGAATTCATCCTTAGAATAGAATACACCTCAGGGCTGAATTAACTACTAAGCAATATTAAGCATGTGCTTAGGACATCAGAGAAAAGTGATACTATTAAAAGGTTCTTAGATATTCAGGAAAGAGGGCACCCAACAATGTTCCATTGTCGGTTTTACCATTGAATGCACAATGCAGCTAAATAGACATAAGGAGTGAAGAAAAAACTTGGGTTAGTCTATATTTTAGGGTGTAACCCTTGGATTATTGCTAAGCTGTTGTTTCATTTATGGTAACCTGAGTAGTTGAATGTTATGGAAACCTTTTGTGACACGATTGGTGTGAATTTGACCTTACAGGAAAATATTTGCAAGGGCTTATTTATGTGTTGGATGTTAGATGCTGCTTATTTTGTGCTTTATAATGCTTGCAGGTGATACAATTAACCTGAAGTTTCTGTACCCTTTAGAACAATTGGGAAAGAAAACATTGGTGGTGTTTCATTTACTGGTGTGTAAATGAAGATTTAAATGGCTTCATTCACCTCTTGGTACACTAAGCAGTGAGATTTAAGGATTTGGAAATTAGAGCTCATATAGATGCTGTTAAGGAATTCTGTGTGTCTCACATACTGAAGAACCAGAAATTTTTAAATAAAATAAGTTGGTATTTCCTTTTTGTATTGCGCAGACTACATAACATGTATTTCAGTTTTTATCTTATTTCCTTGTTTGATTTAAAATGCAGTTTATTGAGATTATATGTTTTATTGCATTATGTTTTGGACGCCATTTTACTGGGAAGGGTGTTGAACGTAAACAGGAAAGGTGCCAAAAAAATCGCCAATGGGTACCCAGAAATATATTTTTACCAAAACTTGTGTAGATATATGTGGGGGAGCCAAAATCTTTCAAGCACTTACAGCCTCTAAAAGTCTTAATTCGACCCTGATATGCCTTACAGAAAGCAAAGTGAGAGTTAATATCAAAGAACATGCTCTTTGTTGATATGGGGCAGAAGCATATGAGAGATTCCAATGTTCACAATAGGCTTTATATGATCGCTGCACCAGTCAGTATTTTTAATGGTGGGAGCAATCACTATAAGCCTTTTAAGGCATTTTGGGCAAAAGTCTTACAATTATTTAAAAGATTTGGAATTTAACGTATTTTCCCATTGATAATTTTTGATAAACCAAAACTGTTGCCAAATAGAGTGATTTCGTGCCAATAATGTAAAAGCATAATTTCAGAACACAATCACAAGATCTTTGCCTTAATTTTATGTAAAACAGATTAATTCTCAATAAGCCAGTTTAGTTTTTTTAGAAAGAAAGTATAAGTCAATTATTATTTATGTGTTTCCCACCACAGTTTGAAAAACTGCTAAAAATTGGGATCTCCATTTTAAGAAACAACATGGAGTATTTTCAAATGGAGATCTTGGCATCAAGAAACATGTGTTTCGATGGGAATGATACGCAAATTTATTTCAAAACAAATAACCAATGCTGATGCAATGTGAAAAATTATGATGTGATTATGAAATGAAAAATTTAAAGTTTTTTTTATATGTTACATCTGTGATTTCAATCTTATAAGTCTAATTACTGAACAAACTATTTCCTTTAACGCGGCATTACACGCGCGAGAAAAACGAACAGCATTACACGCGCTGGGTGTGTCATACCCAGGGTGGTTTCTTCCTATTTTCTATTATAAAATTAGCACAAAACATAAAACAGAAGAAAAAGATAAAAGTCGAAACAGTTTTAAACATATATTTAAAATATTACTTACAATTATTCTGCAAATACATGCCTGCAAATACATTTAATTTCCTGCAAATACATGCCATATGTTCCATACATACATGTTTTTGACATTTTCACAAATATATTTTGTTTTTCTGTCCTTTTTAGATCCACAATCAGCACATCTTTTAATTATTACTTTTGTCTTCCTAGCAGATGGTTGAGAGTCCTCATTCTTTACCAGTTTTACTCTCAAACTTTGCGGGAGCATTGTTTGCTGGCTTCTGATCTTTTTGTAGTCTTCGATTAGTTTAAATCCCAAACTTTTCAGAAAAGAAATAGCAAAATAGAATAGCAAAATAACGCGTGCATTTATAGCAGCTACATTCAACATTGCATAAAATATCGTCATAAGCCATCGATTTGTTTTTTTAGTTGTTGAATACGTTGCAGCCATTTCGTCGACGACTTCGACAGCTCCTTTCGTTATATTATAGAAAGTTATTATTTCGGGTTTCTTTGATTCTTCAATAGTGATGTCTATTGCATTAACGTTACGCACTGTTGAAAGCAGAAGAACATTTCTACTCTTCTTTGGTACATACGAAACAATAGTCTTTTCTTTCTGAAATCCAAACATGGAAGAGTAAACGTCCCTTTTTCTTGTATTCAAGAATATTGGAGGAATTTCTTTCTTATTTTTTCTCAATGTTCCAAAAATTGTTATATTTTTTTCAAAAGTTCTTGTGAAAGTGGATAAGAAGTGTACCAGTTATCCACTGTTAGATTTCTTCCTGAATCATACAGAGGTTCCATCAATCTTTTTACGACACTACTGGGAGAATTATCTACTTGAAATGGACCTTTCGGCTGTTTACCGGCATATATTTCCATTTTCCAAGTATAGAACACTCTCGAAAATCGACGAGCGCAAAAGCTTTTATTCCATACTTCGATGGTTTCTTTGGCATGTATTGGCGAAATGGACATCGCACTCTAAAAGATTCTAATTTCTCGTCTATGGTTATGTACTCTCTAACGTTGTACGATTTTTGGCAGTTTTCTACAAAATTTTCGAACAATTCACGTATCAGGGCCAATTTGTCTAATTCTTTTCTGCTCTGGCGAGTTTCTATATCATCAAATCGGATGCATCTCAATAAAAAATTAAAACGTGTTGATGACATGGTTGTACGGAATATTTCTATTCCAGTGCCGTCTGTTGCCCAAAGATCTCGTATGTACACATGTGATGATTTATGCAAACCAATGAGATAAAGCAATCCAATAAATGCTTTAATTTCAGCCTCATTAGTTTCTTTTGCCTCTCTTTCCCATGAAAAACGCTCTCGAATCGATTTTATAAAACTGTTAGTCCAATGCACTAACTTCTTTATCATATCAGAAGATATAAGGAGGTTTCCAAGCATCACATAGGAGAAGTTACATTCTTTGAAACGGTGTATTTCCTGGGAGTTTTGATATTATATTTTTCGCAGAAATTCTAACATTAGCTTTGAATTTCTCTTTATTCCACTTCGTTATGTTATCTCTTCCGATAAAATAATTATCTGCACTTGAATCTGAAACATCGTTTTCAGAATCAGATTCAATTTCTGTTGAAGAATCATGATCACTACAATATTCTTTGTCATCTGGCTCTTCATTACCTGAAAAATCACTATCTTCCTCTATATTTTCTTCATTAGAAGAAACAGTATCCAGTAAATTTTTCAAATACCGCATTTCTTCGTTATAAGTGCGGTAACGCGCCATAACGAAAGGACAATTTAGATACGTCTGCTTGTACTGAGAACAGTTACAGAAATGCTGGCTCTGGGTGTGAGATACCCAAACCCCGCGATTTAAGTAGATCTATTTTTAGAATTCTTTTGCTGATTTTCCCCTTCTAAGGTTATGACCTTTGAGGCAGCTTCACGAAGACTGGTCCATTTTTGAAAAAAGGTTGGGAAGAAAAGTGCGAAAAAGGAGGAGTCACTGGGTGTGAGACACCCAGCGTGATCAAACCCAGGTTAAGCTTCCACTAGAATGACTGATTCATATATGGCAGCACCTCCACTAGCTTTCATGAATGACAGTATTTTATAATCAGATAAGATGCTTCAATTTCTTATGTTGAATGTCACAAAATATAACAAATTTTATGAACAAAATACATTTTTTTTAAATCTCGCATAATTTTAAATGTAGGCTTTTGTTACTTAAAAAGATGACTGTTTTTATAATTTTACGCAGTTAATTTCGTTCTCCATTCAGATGGTTTTTTTTTACTGCGAGCCGTGTTTTTTATATGCTCAACTTTCCAGAAATTTCACTTATCTGTGGTAAAATCCTATGGGCGCACCAAGAGTGTGGGCTCTGCTGGGATCCAACCCTTATCTGGAATTCAGTATTCTCCAAGCATTCTAGATATTCAAGCTTTTGCTGTACCTAGAATGCTTTCACACAGATCGTTATTTGAGTGGGACATTTGACTCTAAATGAAGAGCGACGGGTAAACATATATTTCAGGGTACCCCTTTGTGAAAATTGCCGACATTCCTCTATACATCTAATGCCCTCTCCAGGAAAATGGCGTTTAAAACATAATTAGGTAAAAATATATTTACGGGTACCCCTTGGCAATAACTGGCGATTTTGGGTGATACATAGACACCATTGCTGCTACACAGAAATAAATATCATAATTATCATTAGATCTTTCATAAAAACTAAAATGTCATATTTATAAGGTCATATTGTAAGAAGTAATAACTAAAAAATAAAAGTGCGAACAATAAATTCATTGTAGTATAAATGAACTGAATTTTAATAATTTCAGATAAAAAGCATCATTGAATATAATGATTAAAAAGTAAACAATAATAGCATCCTGCCCCCCCTCACTTTTTAATTTACACTTAACTCCAGTCTAGAGAAAACAGTCTGACTCACCTTACCCACAATTATTATTATTCTATTTTGATCAAAAACTTGTTTATTATGTTCATTAACCAATAAGTACAGAGCTGGATGAAGACCTTTAGAGATACCCTAAGCACTTTTAATGATGTTACTACATATGTTTAATGCTTACTCCAACTTAGAGGTTTCATTTGAAATCACGGATGCAATTACTTTACAAATCTCACGGAATATCAAAATACACATTATTGCAGATGCACTACAGAGAACGAACTTGACGCTTTCAAAAAATGCTTTTTTGCTTATAAATCATACATACTTGTGTTCAATACAAAAGGCAACTGTGAGCAATATGAACATGAAAAAAAATTCGTCGTTATTTACAAAAACATTAAAATCATATTTCCATTTTAAATTTCCTATTTCAATCTGAAATACATCAATATTTTCAAATTTGTTTTTAATATTTTACATTTTATGTAAAAAAAAATACTTTGTCATTCACTAAATAACTAATCTAGCAGGGCTAAACATAGTTACACATATTTTTTGTCATCCATGCGGTATTTAGTGCAGTTAAGACAGAGTCCGGTAATTTCCCAAAATAATAAAAATTCTTCAAGTATGGATAGAATTTCACAGTTTATGATATACATCCTTTAATCTTCATTCATTTTCAAATTAATGAATGAAATACAAATCGTAAACGGAAGATGAAAGCCCAAATTGGCTAAATCGCAGAATAGGCTGCATCAGTCCTTCGTCGATGCTGTGTTTACTTCTCTTACGCGTGGACACGCCTTTTTATGACGTAATATTGGTTACGCCTCTTCTTAAAAACAAGTTATAAGTATGCTATAGCTTCGTATTTGAAGAAAACTTAAATTATATTTTAACTGAGTTGAAATGGTAGGTTTTTAATGTTCTGCGCGAGATATTTTTTAATTATAAATGTACTTTTGTGTGTTGTGTGGTAGTGTTAGCATTTAATGCAACGAATTACCTCTCATAATTGTATTATTAAGATACCAAACGATTGAAAACGATTGAAAATATTGAATGCATGCGTTAAAAATTATAACGGTGAAAATATAGAAGAGAATTCTTTTGCTTAAAAGTTTTTTTTAATTGATGAGTGTTTCAAATTCGGTGCTTACTGCAGAATGGATGAGTATCTGAATCTGGATTTTTTTTATTAGTTGGAGCGAAGTGGTAAAAAGAGCGTTATTGAATGGTGTATGGAGAAAAGTTTGATTGCAATATCGTATAAGTGACCAATCTGTGGAACAAATAAGAAACTAGTAGACGGTTTTGAGTGGTGCGCAATGCCGAGTTTGTGGAATTCTGGGATTTTTTTTAAGTGAAAATAGATCGATGTGCACATGGGCAAAGCCAATGTGGTGCGCAATGCCGAGTTTGTGCAATTCTGGGATTTTTTTTAAGTGAAAATAGATCGATGTGCACATGGGCAAAGCCAATGTGGTGCGCAATGCCGAGGTTGTGCGCGATGCCTAGTTTGTGCAATTCTGGGATGTTTTTTAAGTGAAAATAGATCGATGTGCACATGGGCAAAGCCGATGTTGTGCGATATGCCGAGTTTGTGCTATTCTGGAATGTTTTTAAGTGAAAAATTGATCGGTGTGCACATTGCATGTGATTGTGAAAAATTGATCGGTGTACACAAAGCCAGTGTGGTGGGCAATGCCGAGTTTGTGCAATTTTGGGATTTTTTTTAAGTGAAAACAGATCGATGTGCACATGGGCAAAGCCTATGTGGTGCTCAATGCCAAGATTGTGCAATTCTGGAATGTTTTTTAAGTGAAAATAGATCGATGTGCACATGGGGAAAGCCAATGTGGTGCGCAACAAACAGATTGATGTGCACATGAGCAAAGCCGATGTGGTGCGCAATGCCGAGGTTGTGCGCGATGCCGAGTTTGTGCAATTCTGGGATGTTTTAAGTGAAAACAGATCGATGAGCACATGGGCAAAGCCAATGTGGTGCGCAATGCCGAGTTTGAGCAATTATCTGATTTTTCTTTAAGTAAAAATAGATGGATGAGCACATGGACAACGAGTTTGTTGGAATTCTTTGATGTTTTTCGAGCGATGTTACTGTTCGTTGTGTAAAAGGGAAAACGAGGTTGTGTGTGATGCCGAGCAGTAATGTAACTTTATTTATGTGCAATGTTTAACATATCGTTTGTGTATTTTAAATTTGTATTGTTGTTTTTATTGTGAATTATATTTAACACATCATTTTCATTTAAATTGTATTTTTAATTTTTTGGTTAAATAATTTAATAATTTTTTGGTTGTCTTATGATATATATCAATAACCCGACGATCTTACTCAACAGTATTAAAACTGTCTTGAAGTCATATTTTAATACGTAGTATTTGGTATCGTAATTGCACTTGATAATATCAGTTCATTGATAATATGTGTGTGTGTGCGTATGAAAAGCATTGCTTAGTGTTCCAAGTTTGTAGTATTTATTTTATTATATTATTTTCTTTCATTCTGAGAAATTAGATTTTTTTACTTTTTAATGCATAGAATTCTAGTATGCCTACAGAGAATATGGCGTGATTTAGGAATTTTAGAAACTGATATGAAAGTTGTATAATGATGTTCACATGCAATAAAAAACATTCTTCTTTTTTAATGTTTAAAATTTTTAGAAAATAATGAAAATTGTCTAATTATTGGTATGTAAGGAATTATGTCGTTACGTAGCAAGAAGGTAATTTGTAAAAATGATAAAATTGATTATGTTCCACATTATGAATTTAAATTATTTTTTTTTATTTGTATAAATGCTTTAATAAAAATCTTTGAAAATATTGAAGCTCTACAAGTATTAGAGACCGCGATGCTGTTTATCGTTTTAATAATTGGTAGTATTCAAGGTGGTTATAATAACCTCCTTGGTAGAATTCGCTCACTGTATCACGGTAATTTTAAATATAAACAATTTATTATACTTATTATCAGTAACGTCTAAGCTTAAATGTTATAAATGTAAATTAAAAATAAGGAATTTGATATTAATTTACAATAATAAACAATTTATTATTGTTATTTTTAAGAGAAAATAGAAAGTACGCTTAGTGTAAATGCGAGACTACATTGTGACGTCACAAGCTTAGTCCCACCCATTAATGGACGTCACACAGCTCCTCCTACTGAACATTGTTGATCAGCCTATTCTGCGCTTTTACCCCAAAATTAATCAAGTCATATAAAAAAAAAAGTATTACAAAATGTGTGAATATTAGCATGCGTCCAAACAATTATCAGAATGGCATTGCGTATTTACAGGAATTGTTTCTTTAACTTCCAAGTAGTAAAAATGTACTTACATGTCAGGATTATTTAGCAAATAATACAGAAGAAATTCGCGCGTGAAACATGTCGTAAGCAGCACAAAAACGAAACACAACATCAACCAATGAGCTGGAGCTACACATTACATTAAAGAAATATACGAAGAGAAGGAAAGCTTCCATCTAATATTTGATACCAGACAGTTTTAGTTACCTGCCGTTTTCTGCGTTTTCAGTAGAAATTCCGGAAATCAATTTATATCCCCTTGATTTTAGTGAGAAGATTGATTTCCGAATAATGTCCTGAAAATGAGGTAAACAGGTAACAGGTAATTCTCCTCTAGGAAGGAGTTCCTCATAGTTTCAGGAGAGGGAAATGCAGTCAGCCTTTTATTTAGCTGTTAGGTGCTTAGTTTTAGTTTATGAATAGCAGAAAAAAAGTTTTTATTCAAGTTTGGGTATTAACCCTATTTTTTTAATGTTTTTAGTTGTTTGATTTATTGAACACGTTAGAAAAATATGTAAATCTAAATGAATGTATATATGCACTTTTTTTTTTCAAATTTGGAAAAGAAGGGGGAGGAATGATCTTCTAGCAATGGTGAAAGGGTGCATGGAGCAAAATGGTCAAAAACACTGTCCTAAAAACTCATAAATTACGATACCCGTGCCACAGCAGAGTAGGCAGTGACTGGAAGCTGCGAACGACTGGAATACAGCAACGCACAATATCTTCTTACAGAATATGAGATAATGTAGTAGAAAAGCTTGAGTTTTGTAGTTTTGTCATCCTTAAAAACTATACTTAACCCTATGAATTACACTAAAAGATTCTTTTTTCATTACTTTGTGGTGACTTTCAGCTAAAACGTCAGAATCGCTTATTTGAATATGCACTTAACCCATGATTTAGACAATCTAGCTTCCAAATGCAGGCTTTTTCTAGCCCTGACCCAAAGATAGTTTTGTTTGTGTCTTTTACAAGATAATGCAAGATTATGAGGAATTGGTTATTAGGGTGTTGGCTGCGGAAATATCGAAATCAGAATATTAATTTTAGTTTTGATTACAACCCCCAAAATTTTCATGATCTTAATTTTAAAATTTCATAGAAATTTCACTTCTAAAGGCCCGTCTACACGTACCGATTTTATCGGCCGACTTTCTCGTACGATTTTATCTGCGAGAGCTTGCTTGTCCACACGCAACGATTTTGTCGTCGGTACAGGAAATGCCTTAACCAATCACTGTCCGAGGAAGAATTCCCGCCCTATGTAGCGTCACACTATCAACAACTGTGAAAACAAAACTGTGCGGGAGTGAATTTAGGCGACAATAATAAAAATGGATGAAGATTTCCCGTTAATTGCTACTGTAGCAACATCTGCGATTTTGATCCTCGCTGCTGCTGCAGAAGAAGAAAAAAGAAAGCGTATTTGAACGAGAAATTGGGTGAAACGCAGAGAAATTCATGGAGCCCATAATACCCTGTTCCAAGAGCTGCGTTTTGAAGACAGGGTGGAATTTGGAAAGTATTTGCGAATGATGCCGTGCGATTTTGATTATTTATTAAACTTAGTGAGCAGCAAAATTAAAAAACAGGATACGATTATGCGTTGTGCAATTTCACCATCTGAGAGGCTGCATGTTACTTTACGCTTTCTAGCTGGTGGTAAGTTAATTTTTATTTTATTGGAAAAAAAAATCAATTAATTTTTGATAAAATTAATAAATCAAATTCACAAAAATTGAAATACAAATTCAAACAATAATTTTAAACCACAATTTTTTAAAATTTGAGAAATTTATAATGAATAAATATCATAATTATATCACTACATCATTTTTAATAAATTTATTTTTTAAGTTTTTTATTATGTTACAGGGTGTTCCTATTCAAATTTACAGTATTTGTTTAGAATACCTAAACAAACATTGTCAAGAGTGATACCAGAAGTATTGGATGCTTTATGGGAATGCATGCAAGATTACATAAAGGTGAGTTAAAACTTAATATATCAATGTTACATATGAGGTCTTATAATTCACAACAACATCATGACCTTTTAATTTTTTAAAAAAATGTTCATTTTTACAGGATCAGGATACTAATGTTAAGTTGAATTTTTCTCAAATTTGTAATATTGAATTAACTTCAGAGCTTGTTTTCCTTGAAATGTGATTCATTTAAAAAGAGTATTACAGGAGTGCAATGTATAATTTTCTATTTAGAATTAAGAGCCCCACCAGTGGTTGAGTGGTTAAGACAACTGAATACTGGTAGTTCGACCTGGCTTGGGTTCCGTCCCAGGCGAACAGGTTGGCTGCATGGTTGGTTTTTGTGGTTACCCCATGTGTAACATAAAATATGAGCTAGTTTCCCTTAGAAAGGCCTCTACGAAGGTATCCCTCCTCTTACGCAGATAGTCCTCGAGGCTTTGCGATATTTAAATTTAAGTAACCTATTTACAATTAAAGTCATAAAATAGTTGCATTGGGGTATCTGGATAACGGATAACTTTGAGTTTTTTCTTTTTAAGTACTAGCAGAGAGAGATTTAGTATAGCAATTGGAATTTCATTACTCATGTAACATTCTCTTGAAAATGTTATGCAAACACCGTACTGATGAAATGTCTCTCCAAGTTATATTTTACACTAACCATTATACTTCAGTTGCATAAGCATGCACTTTTTACCATGTAATAAATCAGGGCTTTTTAAACTTTTTTGATTGACACTTTTGATTTTATGGTGGTTAGAGATGAAAATGTCTCTCACTAATATGTTGCAGAAAAAGGTAAAAGTTTATGGCAGTTTCAGAAATTGTTGGAAATCTTTTGCAATTGCTAGCCAAAAATCTTCTGAAGACTTCGTATTAAAGATAAAGTTTCAATCCCGAATTATTTGATAAATCAGCAAGTTCTTCTTGTGATCTTAATGGCAAATGAGTAATATTTTCCACATTAATTCTAAATAGTTTCACAATATCCATATTAGTTCTTTGACACTAAAATTTGAAGGGAAATATTTCTTAAAGTTTTTCTCAAGACATCGAAGATGTTCATTTATCATTTTTTTCAACAAGTCATTTCATCATTTTCATTTAAAAATTCAGTTGTTGCAACAAACATTTCTAACAAACCCTTTTCCATCATTGTTTTCCATATGGTCATTTTCTTAATAAAAGCATCAATTTTTAATTTGAATATGACTATGTTGCAACCTTTTTCTTTAAACAACAAATTTAGATCATTTAGTTTTTCAAATATGTCACTCAAATAACGCAGCTTTTGTAGCCATAACTTATTATGAAATTAAATTCGCAAAATCAGATTTTTGTTCAGTTAGAAAGAGAACTTTATGTATTGCCTTATCTTTATCTATTTTCAGATACATTGTGTAAAAATATTTGGTAATTGTAAAATTATTGGAATAAGTTAAAGGATTATCAAAAACTGCTAAAATGTTTTGGCGACCTCCATGGGGGTCGCGACCAACAGTTTAAGAAAATAATTTTAAGTTATAAATGAAATTGTTTTTTTCCCACTCAACATTAAAATATCTCGTCAGCTTCTTAAAATTTTAAAATTGTTTTGCAGGCACCAGTTTGTTGGTCCATGCTCTAGATTATAATTTGACTCAAATTCTAGAATGAACCATTTTCAATGGGAAGTGTTAGTCTGTCGTAATGTTGTTTATGCTTTTCAGTATATTTAAATAAAATTTTAATTTATAAGAAGAGATATGATTATTTGATTTTGGAAAAATCATAATAAACATTAATAAACATAATAAACATTGTTTTATAATTAGGGAGGCATCTAGCAATAGAATGTAGGAACTGCAGAGATTGGTGGACAGCAAATTGACAACCTAGTATCAACCCTGTATAAAACACATAATGAATCTGCTAAATTGACCACCTATGGGTTCATCCAAAATTCTTCAATAGACACTTTTAGTTTTGAGTTTTTCTTCAAATTAAGAAGCATATATATTCAGTTATAAAATGTTTAAACATGTTGTTTAAATGAAAATTCTGTTTTCTGTGTACAAACAAGCATAAGCACTTTTTGTTTATTGTATTATTGTTTGTACAACAACAGCTTATTTTTTAATCATTTATTTTCCAAAAATTATCAGTTTTTCTGTCTGTATGGGTATTGTGATCAAAAACATTCATTTACCCACAGTCACTTAGCTTTAATTCCATTTATTGTATCTGACACATTCATTACTTTAAAAACTTTAAATAGAATCTATGGTGTAGCTTAATCAAAAACAAGAGAGAAAAAATGGGGAAAAATTAGATAAAAAGTGAAACATAGGAACACAACCAAAAATATATAAGCACATTTTTTTATCTACTTCTCTGATGTGAATTTTATTATAACAAATGAGTAGCTAATATTCGTTGATAAAATATTTGATTTTACTATTTGCCAATATTCAAATAGCATTTTCTGCATTTATATTTTGTATTCGCATCCTTTTTTCAGTTTCATAATTAATACTTATTTTCTCATTTCGTAGACACCAAACACTGCTCAGGAGTGGCAAGCCATAGAAGAAGCTTTTGCTGAAAAGTGGAACCTGCCACACTGTGTTGGTGCCATCGATGGAAAACACGTTATGATAAAAGCACCAGCAGGGGGTGGCAGCACTTTTTACAATTATAAAAGTTTCAACAGCATTGTGCTGATGGCATCAGTTGATGCAGATTATAAATTTACATTTATTGATGTTGGATGTAATGGACGAATATCAGACGGAGGAGTTTTTGCCCAAACAAGTTTATTTTCGATGCTAGACAATAACTTGCTTCGATCTGCCCAGCCCAACACCTTTGATTCCAGGTAGTGAGCCTGTGAATTATTTTATGGTTGCAGATGAGGCGTTTCCTTTGAAATGTTATCTGATGAGGCCATATCCTGGTAAAAAAATCTCTCCTCAGCAAAGGATTTTCAATTATCGACTGTCCAGGGCAAGGCGTGTTGTTGAAAATGCATTCGGGATATTATCAAATAGATTTCGTATCTTGATGCAACCAATACAGCTGCCTCCTGCGACAGTTGATAAAATTGTTTCTGTATGTTGCTGTTTGCATAACTTTCTACGAGAAAGACCGTCCAGGCAATTGTATACACCAAGAGAACTAATCGATCATGAAGATGAGGACTTTAATTTTATACCTGGATCATGGCGAAATGAGGAATCGCTAAGTAAGATGAAATCCCTGTGTAAACAAAATGGTTATAACACAGGGTCTGCTGAAGCAAGGCTGATGCGAGAAAAAATTTGTGATTATGTAAATAATGAAGGAAAAGTTGCATGGCAAGATAAACATATAAAATATTATTAATTTCTCAATATATGTTATAATAAAAGATAAAGAAATAAAGATTATTTATAATTATTTTTATTCTATGTTACAAAATATATCTAAGTTTCTTATTTATTCTGTGTTGTTCATGGAATCTAATACATTTTGTTCTGTCTGTGCATCTGTGAGAATTTGGTATATTTTATATTTTGTGTCTGTGAGGAGTTGAGGGTCACGGATTAGACTTAGTTCGGAACCAACAAAGGAACCGAACTGTGTAAATGTATTTGGAGTAGTGTTTTTTGATTTTAATATTGTAGAAATTTCTTAAAGTGTTGCTGTGGCTGCTGTGTAAATGTGATCGTGTTTCTGTTTTTTGTTTGAAGTTGTAGTGTTTGATGTGTGTCTTTTTAGCTGTGGTAGTGTTTCTGTATGACATAGTTCTTTCTGTGTCTCTTCAGTGTCTTCAAAATCGTTGATGTCAAACATAGAATGTCTGGTAACTTCTGCACTTCTTTCTTGTGTAGTAGTATCATTAAAATCCTGAAAATTAAAATAACACTTTAATTTTTACTATTTTTCAGCTATCATTCATTCATATATAACAAATCAGAATTAACAAGCTATGGAAAACATGCAGAAATAAATATTTATAAGGATCATGAATATATTTCCTAAGCTTGATTTTTCAAGAGATATCAAAGTTGAATAATCAAATATCTTGAATAAGAATACGAAAAAAACTCGTAATTCTGTTGTCTAAGTTGTAGCATATTTGGTATCAATAAAAACATGCAATACATATATTTAAAAGAAAATATATAAGAAGTTAATGCTTATGTTTAAGTATGTTAAAAGTAACAAAATATTGACTAACTTATGTCTGATTTAGCTGTGAATATAAGTTTATCATTGACTTCTGTACTCATCATTCTTTCAAATAACATTCATATCTATTAATCATACATAATATTACAAATCTATTAAAATATAATATAATAAATAAATTATAAAGATATTATAATAATCATAATTAACTAAGTTGAAATAAATTATAAGATAAGTTATCAAGAATGAATATATAAGAATTAATAATAAGAATGAATAAGAAAAAATATCAAAGTTGAATATCAAATATCAAAAACTCAAAAAAAAATAAGAATACGTAATTCTGCTAATTGTATTGCTATGTATGTTAAGCAATATTATAAAGTATAAGACATAGTAATTTAAAAGAAAAATATAATGAAGTTATAATGCAAGTTAATGTTTAACTTAAAAATAACTTGAAACTAAATATGTAACAATTTATGTTAACTTATGTCTGATTTATCTGTGAATATAAGTTTATCTATGAATAATATATATATATATATATATAATAATAATTATATATATATATATATATATATATATATAGAAAAAAAAAGCAAAACTACCAAGAATAATTTGAGTGTTTTTAAAAGAACAGTATCTGTGCATGTACATCCCATATTTTTATAACTTTTCAATGTGAAGCGGAGTTGGACTTCATTTACTTGTAAAAACTTGAACAATATGAGTAAGATTTTGATAGTAATAATTACTTAAAATGCAATAAGAATTCATGTTTCTCTATTAATATTTTAAAATTAGAGGTAGTCACATATTATCTCAACCACCTTAATAAAAATTGCCATACTCTGCACATAAAAATTTCACAGGCAACCTTGTTCATAAAAATCCTTCAGTCAAGCAATGTTTCAATTGTTGTTTATTTTTGTTGTATTTGGAATTCTAATGATTTTGACAGACATCGTAATTTTTTTGGGGGGAGTTGGGAACCTTTAACTTACTTTTAAAATATCACTTGTGGAATCTGCCAGCAATGGAAGAAACTGCAGTAAAAATTCTGCAGAATATAGTATTTTGTCACAAAACCGTTAACGCAAACAGCGATGAGATGTGTTTGGTAAACAGTTGATGTGCAGTACAAGTTTATGCAATTTATTGGTTTTTTAAGTGAAAACAGATCACTGTGTACATGGAGAAAAGAATAACGCTAAAAGTTAGAGAAGTATTTTGCAAATTCATAAGTGTTTTATTTTTTAGTACTTAACATATTAGCGTAATCACCTCAAGTTTGGCAAATTTTTATAAATGAAAAAGAATGAGGGTAATGTTGCTTGACTGAAGGAATGTTTATGAGCATGGTTGCCTAAAGTATTGTTATGCTCATGGTCGACAGATTTTAGCACATTCTGGAAATTTAAAAGAGCTTGTACTAAAGTGCTTGTGATAACATGTAAGAACCTATTTTTTAATGTATCATATAATTTTTACTTAATAATTAAAATTCATGTTTAGATTTTTCGGCGGCTTTTTTCGGTAGGTCGATAATACTTTGCTGACTTACTATCAGATATTTGGGAATGGTTTTTTTTAAAAAAAAAAGTCATAAAAACCACTAACTTGTACCAGTAAGTAATTTTTACCTTTACATTTATAAAGACCACCAAATATGTGACAAGGTGGTTGTGTTAATACATGAGTACCAAAATAGACTTACGAAGAGAAATTTAAGTACCTTAACTCTCATTTCAAAATAAATTACATATGCTTTTCTGGATGTTAGACTAATTGATTAAGACAACGCAATTCAAGGACTATCTGCCTATAGAGAGGGATGCTTCATAGAAGAATTTTTAGGGAAAAATGGCTCGTATCCATGTTCTGCATAGGAAAAAACAAAAAAAAACCAACCTTACAGTCAGCTTATTTGCTGGCATTCGAACACTGGTCAAATTACCAGTTATTTAGCAGTTTTACTGCTCAGCTATTTTGGAAATTATCAATAGAATATCATTCATTGGAAAAAAGATTAGGTCTTCATATAAATTCAAAATATAACTTCTACTAACTCTGACACTTCTGATTTTAGAAATTAAGCCCTGGTCCTATCCACTTTTACCTATACTTTAATGGGTATTGCACCTATACTTTAATGGGAAATGGGATTATTTTTAAGTAAATGAGCTTAAGAATAGTCTTTAAATATAAAGATTTCATTTAAGAAATTAAATAGCACACATAGTTGTAAAAGGATAAATAAAATAATACTTTTGTACTGAAGTTATATAGAAATTGCTGTGAGTGTGAACTTTTGCAGATGACCCATCTGCTGCATGAGCTTGAAGATTTGGCTAATATAATTTACACAGCTAAGTATGTATAACAATATTATTTTATTTATCACAAAAACTGTTAAAGTTTTGCCTATATTAAAAACAATTCTATAAATTTTCAAATAGTAAAGGGAAATTATTTACTTTATAAGCCAAATTATATAAATTTAAAAAGTAATCACTTACCAAAGAAGTCACAGTATTCCTTAAGGACACGACATCACTTAAAAATTGTAACGATGTGTAAAACTGCCATGCCGATTTGTACTGCATGGCAGTGCTTGCACCAGATGTATAATTTTTTTTTTCTCTTTATGTTTCTCCTTTGTAAATTGAGTACGCAGGTTACTCCATTTTTTTTTTTAAATTTCATTTTCTGGAACGCATATTTGTGTGCTTAAGTCCTGAAATGTTAAAATAACCATGCTTCAGAAAAAGTAAATAACTACTGTGCTTTAAATGATAACCTTTACTATTAAATAAATAGACAATAATGTTATGAAAACCGCAACAATATGAGTAAAAAGTACTAATACAGAATAAAGATTACTATAGTAGAAAGGAATAGTGTAATTTCAATACAAAAATTTCAAATAAGAAATATAAATATGCAAAATCTTAAAATAGCATATCATACTGAATATTAAAAAATACTATCGGTATAGTTTAATAACTAATACAGTTCTGAAAACTGTAATCATATTGCTATATCAGTTAATCAGCTAATAAAATTGAGCAATATTGTATTAAATTGAGCTGTAATTTGTTTTAACCAACATAAAATAATTTTCATCACGAATAAAAAAATATTTGATGATAAAGTAACGGGAAGATAACTTACCAAAATAAGGGAATCCTTTAACTTTTTATTTTTATAATTTATGTTATTTGTGTCCCACAACACAGCATGGTCTCTATAAAAATCAATCAATTGAAAAATTTGATTTTCGCTCCAACGAAAAAGCGCCATGTTTCCAAAATGAGAGAGAAAAGCACGTGATCTCTGGAAGCAATCTAATTGGCTAGAGTCGCCGATTTTATCGTCGGCTAGTGAGCGGTGAACACTAGCTCTGAAATCGTCGCAGAGAACATGACAGATTTTTAGCGCATGCGCACATCCTGAAAATTGTTCCTCTGCGAGAAAGTCGGCCGATAAAATCGGTACGTGAACGGCTTAAAAATCCTCTTCTTGATTCTTAACAAAGAAAAATCGCCGACTCTTTTTTTAGGCAAAAACTAAGGCTTAAATTTTCACAAAAGTGGTACTTTTATGAACTTTTTGTTTTTCTAAATAAAAAGTTATTTAAGCCTTAGTCTATCAAACTAACTTCAATTTTTCCAAATGTTCATCAAAAGTTTTAGAAGCAATGACAATATCATCAATGTAAATTCCTATTTTTAATGGTGAAAGATTGGCCAAAACTATAGACATCAACCTTTGAAAGGAACTAGGAGCATTTCGCATGCCAAAAGGTGTTCGTAACCACTCATAGTGCCCAGAAGGAGTCGAGAAACCACTTTTGGAAGGTATCATCAGGATGAATTTTCATCTGGAAAAACCCTGAAGTTAAATCAAGCGTGGAAAAATAATTCGAATCTCCTAACTGTTCTATCAACTCAATCATGGAAGGTAGAGGAAAACTGTCTTCTATCGTTTCCTCATTCAACTTGCGGAAGTCAGTGACTAAACGATAGGTGTTATCCGCTTTCTTAACAAATAAAACAGGAGCACTGTAAGGGCTGTCACTTTCTTGAATGATGTTGGCTTCAAGCAGCTCTGCCACCTGTCTATCTAATTCATCCCTGAGATGGTAAGGTACTTTGTAAGGCTTTTGCCTAACAGGAATATTGTCACGCAAGATGATGTTGTGTAAGATGGGGTCACACCCTGTTAACTCAGTGACTGAGGCAGAAAAGACGTTACTATACTGATTGAGAAGGTGTGATAAATGTTGTTGTTGCTGCTCAGATAAATGTGTAAGATCAATTCACCCACCCCAAGACTCGAAATCCTCACCTGTTTCTATGGTGGTATTGTTGACAAGTTCGGTGTTATGTGCGATAACATTCACTGGTTGGGCACTGGCCAATTTCATTCCTTTATTGAGGTGTAGAATATTTGGTGAAAAATTAGCTATTTTAACATAAAATTCCTGAGACTGAGAAGTTTGGATAACTGACCTTGCTATGGCAAATTTACTTTGTGCATGTTCTATTAAAGGTTCAATCAAAACAGCATTAGGATTAAAATTAGCAGAACGAGTAGTAAGCTTAATGATATTTTCTGAAAAAGGTAGTTATTTATGTTTAGTTACAGAGTAACAAAATGACTGAGAAGCTGAACTAGAAAAAGCATTACTGTTCACAGCACTAGGCTGACCTAAATTCCACTTTAGAATTACATTTGATCCTAACAGTTGAGAAATCTAAATGCATGTTGATGTCAACAAATTTAGTTCCTAATAAAACACCATACTGAGATGAAAAAGGTGTGTCGGTAATAAAAAAATCAGTTTTAAAATATTGCTGCTGGAATTCTACCACTAAATTGACCTTCTTAGTTACTTTTAATTTTTCTGCTGCTATTTCCTTAAATATATATTACATGTGTCCAATGAGATTTTACCTCCAAAACAATTAATGTATTTTGCTTCTATGATGTTTACAGTTGCCCTGAGTCCAATAAAACTTTACTTTATTCCCCCAAAATAGATCCCTCAACAATAGGCAAGACGCCTCACTAGTGGATACTGTAAATACTGATGGCACCTCCAAAAGGGTTTTAGGAGACGAAACGGAGACTGGTTTCTCCCCACCCTGAATTAGTTTAAATTAAAACTTGGTGCTTGGGGATTCAAAGCATTATCAGACACACTAGTGGCATTTGGAGTACCCAAAACAGCTGGTGTAGGGGTATTAGGATGTATCCTGGCTGTTTGGTTATTTGTTTGTTTGGTTATTTGCTGTTTGGTTTGGTCCCTGCTAACATGCCCTATTCTGTTGCATCTGTAACAAAGAGGCTGTATTGGTCTTGAACGAGTACTTTGTGATAGTAAACTTTGCACCTGTGTCTGAATAGAACCCATCATTTTAGTACGCTGAGCTACATTTTCTTGTTGCATTTTAATAGCCGTAGTGAGCTTTGAGTTGGATACCGATGGTGTTGTACCAGATTTTTCGACATCTGGCTTAGCAGCATTCACCGCTCTAACCTCAGTTGTTGCAAAATCACTACTAGCATAGCTCTTAGCCCACATGTCTTCTTCAATAAGCACGGATGTTAGAGTGCAAATTGTGCACTGAACTGAATCTGTGGCAGCAACAAACGTCGCAAATGCAACTGCAATCCTTCGATAAACACTGACAAGTAAATCCTGCCTCTGTGCTTCTGCTGCAGGGTCACTGCTTCTTTCCACTGTACAGTTTTTGTACGAAAGAGCCTCTATATGTGCTGCAAATTGTCGCACTGACTCGTGTGGTTTCTGAAAAGCCTGAATAAGAGCACGGATGTTAGAGTGCAAATTGTGCACTGAACTGAACCTCTCTTTCAACGCTTTCACGACATAGTCAAGACTGGTTTCTTTCTTTAACCTAGGATTATTCCTAATTAATTCAGCAGACTCACCTGCCACCTTGACTCTGATCACTGTTAACTTGTCTTCATCTGACCAACCGACATGAGTAGCAATGAGATCAATCCTATCTAAGAAGTCATTCATACTAATTCTCTTGTCTGCACCTGAGAACAGAGGAACAGAATCCAGAGTATCAGAACCAAAAACTGATAGAGCCATTACTTCTTGACTCTCCTCCCAGTCTATAGCACTATTACTAGCCGCTCTCGCTGCTCGTTTTGACACTTTCTTTGGCATTTTAAACTGCAATCAGCAATTGCCAGCACATAAAGGTAGGGATGTATCCCAATGTGTGATTAACACGTGTGCCTTTTAACCTTATGTTGCAAACATAAGTTGCAAAAATGTGAAACAGTAATCCTCAAAATCAATATGTAAAAATGCAATACAAAATTTTTCACAAAAAGAAAATACTTAACTAAACAGGTACTGCGTGAAAATGTTTGTGTTTGGATCAATTTTCAAAGTCCAAATGTGTATCAGTAGTACATATCTGGTATGCAACCTCAAATAATAAGTATAAAATAAGCACAGTAATACGACCACTGTATAGGCCTCTCACTGTAACTAACTAACGAATAGGGTTTCAGTAAAAAGCCTAGACATGTGGAAGAAAACTTTCACATAAATATGGAATAGTACACATGACAATCACAAGTCTCAAGTCAAAATTAAGTTCAATTAAAAGTGCAAGCCAAAAGGTGGTGGAAAAAAAATCACAGCACAAAAAAAAAATTGTTAAGTGCTAAGTTGGTTCGAAAGGGAACAGCACCAAAAATGTTATGTGCTAAAATTGGTTCGATGAGTCACGGCACCAAAAATGTTATGGGTGTTTTTAAATTTTTCTTTAAATTTTCCAAAGTTACCAAAAGGTACCCTACAAGTTGACCATAACATGTAAAATAAAACTCAATTCAGCAATAAGATACCAGTAACAATAAAGTTGAAATTTGCGTTGTTTTCTTCCGGATTAACCTTAAATCAATTCGAGTAAAAGACTGGTAAAAATCATGAGCACACAAAATAAGTTTAACCATTGAATGATCTAAAAAAACTTATTTTATTTAATTCCTATGCATTTAGTAATCCATTTCTTAGAAAATCAAACAATTCAAACTTCAGTATATTGAGATTTCAATCCATACTCTTACTGAGTAATATTAATTTAGCCTTAGAATCTCTATTAAAATTTACCTTTACAATCTAGTAAGCATATCAGAAATAAACTACGAATAAATGAACAATACCCTCCCCGGGGAGCAAAAAAAATAAATAAATAAATAAATAAATAAATTTAACAAGTTACACTTTCCAAAAAAAACACACTTCACACAGAATAATAAATACAAAAAATATATTGCATACTACTGCACTCAAACATCAATTAAAAAAATGGATAACTTTAGTTATTGCACATAATAATTTTACATTTCCCTTTTTTTTTAAAAAAATGTATAGTTTAACCGGATAAATGTTAAGTATTTACGCTATTACGATCCTACCAACAAAGTTAATCCCTGAGAGTAGCAGAGAGGCTCAAACAATGATATTACAAATCACCAAGCAGCAACTCCAAACGTTGAATTACATAATTTCATGAAGAACTTATTATTCTTTTACAGTTTGACTAAGTTACAATAAATTAAATAAGGTTATAATTCCTTAGTCAATCTAATACTTTACTTAAACGACCCACAAAATAATTTTCTATACAGTTAGGTTAACTTTGTCAAAACAAAAAAAAAATTAATGCTCAACAATCAATTAATTCAATCCTTTAACTGAAGAATTCATTATTCTTTATCTAACCGGGAAAGAAAACATAAAAAAAAAATAACTTATCTGGACCAAGGTAAGCAGTTGCTGAGTAGCAGGCAAAATCTTACCATATGAAACAAAATTGTCCCTTGAAGTTCAGGAGTAAAGCCGGCAGCAGTAGCAAGAAAAGTGAGTTCCTCGATTATATGGAGGTTATCACAGGAGCCGAGGAGGTTTTCTAATTGAATCAGGATGAACAAGGAAGATCTCATCTTTGATGAAGTTTGAAATGCAGTCCAGGACTTGGAGACGACAGCTGTCAGCAAGGAAAATTTCAGCTCAGGAATCGTCGGTGGAAAAGGCGATCCGACCCCTAAGGTCAAAGCAGCAGGTGTTGACCAACCAAATAAAAAAAAACTATTGTCGGAGGAAGCAAGAAGCTAATGAAGCATTTCTACGGTAGAGAACTAGGTAGAGGTCATCTTTCTAGAAGACAATTTTCTGCATTCTATTTCTTGAGAACTTAAATACATAAACGCACACCAAAAAATAAATAAATAAATAAATAAATAAATAAAAATAAACTGATGCAACGAAGAATTAGGTGGAGACACTGATGCCCGTGACCCAGGGCCCACGCTCCAGGCGCAGAGGCACGAAGCCCGTATCCCTGTCGGGAAGGGATTTCATTTCCTCGGCAGAGTCAGCTGCCGTCGCGTACAGTATCAGAAAGGAATTCAAAAAAAGCAGACGTGTCAAAAGTGCT